ATCTCAAAGACGGTATCGGATAACCCTGAAGACTTCACTTTTTCACTAGCACGATACCGGACTAGGGCTCTTGCAAGTACTTTCAGATTATCTATAACGCCGTTGAATCTTGAATCTACATTGGCCAATTGCTAAGCTGCTTCAGATTCATGTTCCGATGGTCTTTGATTCCTGAAGCCTGTAACCTCATATGGCTTCTAAAAATTGAATATTTCTCGATTGAAGGCTGAACTCCGGTTTTTCTTTTTTACATTCTCGGATTTCCCTTTTTGAGTGCTGAGTTTTTCACCTTTTTCCATCCGGTCAATATCGCTTATAGCGATATTCTATGTACAATCAACTCCCTTTATTGCAATCGATGTAGATCTCACGTTTTTATAAGTTCAGTGTAATCAGAATTCGATAGGAAGTCAAGGCACTGGAAACTCTTTGAATACCGGTGGGAGCTTCTTTTATTGCTTCTTTAAAGAGGTAATAAATAAGGCCGAAGCTATTGCTACTGATTAATTCCATCATTTGTCTTTTCGACAGTTGGTTAACTAACAACAAATAGATCAATCCCCCGGATAAGTGAATATGAACCATAAACACTGATATATTCGGATGGGTAAACAAATACACTGTTACTTAGACATACAAATAAACAAGTAAATAAATCACAAACAGAGCCCCTTCATATAACTCTCGTTCAACTTCCACGCAAGAACGTAGCCTCGTGTGAATGCCTATATGGCTACCATACTATACGGCCCCTAAAAGTACGAGTTACGGGTTAGTGTTTTTCCTGATGTGTCGGAAGTAATTATGAGCGAATAGAAGAAGTTTCGAATGATTCGGTTGGCATATGCAGCTTTTCATTAAGGATTGACCCTGGAAGTCCTTGCATTTGTTAACGGCATTCCATGGCACTGCCCTACTCTCCAGGTGTTGATGGTATAAGTTCAAGTTTTTCCGAGGGGGGCTAAAACTTTGAAAAAAAAAAAGCGAAACGGGGGTCGAACTAGATTATTTCTAGGGCAGCACCCATGGCAGAACGCCGGAAATCGCTCCCTGCAGAGGAAGAATGAGGGATTTTCAACGCTCGAAGTTGTCGGTTTGTCATGCATCGCTGCATTTGACGAATACTCTTTCAGTTCTTCTATGAGAGTTGCATTTTTCGCAATTTTTCGACGCTTTGCGCGGTTATGCAATTTTCTGGTTGAGCAGAATATCGATGGTCTAAAAAAGTGCTGCTTCCTGTCACAAAAAAGGATTCGAGGAGTATGATTTACGTGTTCTCCTCAAAGCACAAAGCAATAAACCTTTATCATTTCCCAATCCCACCCTGAGGGAAAAGGCTGAACCTCCGCATTTCGTGGTCGGTAGAGGAGTTAGGACTCCTCTGGAGCTCTTATAATTCCATTCCTGTGCTCGAAGGAATTGCCTTCAGAAGTTGTGTTATATATTCTAAATTTTTCTGCTGTGCTATAAGAAGAATGGTATTTTTCTCGTTAATAAATTCCATTTTTTGGATGCACCCCACAATGGAAGTCCATTCTGAGTTGTAGTTGTCCTTCCAGTTATGACGGCGTGTTCATAGTAGGGGTTGCTAATGCAGCGTCATCCTATCTTGACAGAGTTTACTACTTTTAAGAACAAGAGATTATGGCGTATATGGCCTATACAATGACTTGCAGTAGTAGCAGATCTACAGGTAAACAGGTCAGCGCTTTTAACCTCCCAGACGAGTCTGGCACAAGCTAGCCGACACTGGAGGGAGTAAAGACCTGGATTAATCTGGGCGGCTAACAATCTGAGATTCGTTACTTGATCCATGGGTTTCATAGTGCGACGCTTGGCACGACGCCTTACTACACTGAGTATTTTGACAGCCTTGGTTTTCCATAGAATCCCATACTAGGCCTAGAACAGGAAATGAGGCCCATTAATATTTTTTCGCTACCTACATTGCATGTCCTTCCACTTATTATGGTGTGTTCATAGTGGGAATTGGGAACGCGACGTCACCCGATCGTCACGAGTGTTCAGTTTTGTCAAAAAAGAGATTGGCAAGGAGTGAACGTCACCAGGGGTTCAAAAGGGTCAGTTATTACAGTAAGCGTTATGGACTGAAGTAGATGTGCCTATTTATGGTATTAGGTAGCTTTGTCCAAAGAGGCGGCCCCACAAATGTGTCTGATTCCCATGCAAATGCTCTCGATGTGATACCCGCCAGATCCCATGGATTTTTTCATTGCCATCATCATGTGCGGAACTTTAAACATAGTAAATTACTTGTGTTCATCGGCGAGACCTGCATCCATCACATGGAGCAAGGATTCTGCAATATTAGGTTCTTGAGAGACAATCCCGATGTTTTTCTGGTGTTGATCGGCTTGCTCTATGGTGATAAATTGGATCACGGGATTTGATGGGACGGCCCAGTTTTTTGGGGCTGCATCTTACTTGTCCGCCTACATTTAGAAGAGCTGGAAAACTTAGAAATTGGCTATAGGTCTTTCCTGGATACGCCGTGAACCTGATTTCCAACCTTAAGGATGCCAGTGCTTCTCTCCCCTAGGAGCCACGTAATCAAGGGCAGTTTTGAACGAACTCGCCTAGAAGGAGTGACTCAGAAATTCATGGGAGTTGAAGGGTTAGGGAACTTCGTCTTGGATGTTTCGGAGGTAGAATGAGGTGATTCTTCCCACGGCCACGGTCCTTTGTAGTCAAATACATGCTGGTAAAAGTTATGACTGAGTTTGTTTTTGTTTATCCTCGAGATCCTGTTGTTTTGACCAGGTTTTGTTGATTTGTTGACTTGATTATTTTGATTGATTAGTTGAAACCCCCTGATCATCCTATGAAGCAATTTCATGCGATCCCTGTGATCGATTATCGATCGGTGTCGGGATGTGCCGATTAATTTGCTGCTTAAAGCAGCTCATTGTTATGGCCAGCAGTGTCCGGCCGGTGTATAGGGGGTGACTTTACAACGAGACGAGGTGCTTGCTGGCTGTGGGTTGCTCTCCTCGGGCTGCTTGGGCCGGCAATGTCTGCTGCCGCCACCGACGTCGACTGAAAGCCGCCATCGTGCCATCGCAGCCGCCTACTCGGCGACCGACCGACTCGCCTGTGGCAGTGATAGATCTGCGCTCTCCATCCCTCTGCCACATCAAACTTCCTCCGCCATCGTCTTTTCCACTGTACTTGCGGCCAGCGGATATCTCCCGGCCAACAGCACAAAAACCCTCTTTCATTACACCACCACTATCTCTTTCCTATTAGTTGTACTATAATTTACTGGTTGGTTTTTGGAACATGTATCAGCAGCTGCCAAGTCGTAACCGCAAGCGGTACTCTGTAAAAAAGAGTACAAGGCAGAAAAATACGGGAGATTTCTAGACCCTTCTTTGGGACCGACCTTTTATGCCATTTCTCATAAATTTTTGATACAGGGGATAAGCTGGGTCGCTGGGACGATTACCAAATCCATGGGACATTCCTTGGGCAGTGAAATCCCATTCCAAACGGTTTCTAATACGATCCCCAGATGCTACTCGGGAATGTTCAATGGCTGAAGCGGAAGCAATGCAACCTGACTTTCTTACCTATCACAAAATGGCCAATTTTCTCAAGTGCCATTGCCCATTTCATGGGTCGTTAGAAGCAAGAGGTTCAGGGGCTGTTCAGTGGCTGTTTGTCTTGATCCCGCATTTTGCTACCTACAACATTCTATGCTTACTTTTTACTACCTCCTCTTAAAGGGATTCTTGAACTTGTTCAGAGTTTATAAAGTAAAGGAACGTTTTCGGGTGTGATCCGCTTCCGATTTCCGCTTTTCGTCGACTGTCTCAAAAAACCGTACTTCAAGAGCACAAATTCACTTTTTTGGTGTTCATTACTGAACTGAATGGTAGTCCTCCCTGATAGATCCTGAAAAGAGAGCAATTGATTTGCAAGCTTCTCCAGACTACCTTTGACTTACCTCTACTATTCCGATTTTCTTGTTTCTACTTCCTGCTTGTTTTCGCCACCGTGGGCTTTTTTATCTGGAAAGTAAACACTTTGCACACCTCAGAACAGGCATTTTAGTGGGTCTCAAGAGCAGGTGGATTGATCTGCGAATCAATAACGCCTTTTTCTGAAAAGTTTCCAATGAACTGTTGTGACTATCCTCCCCTTTTCTCGAATTTTTTGCTGTTAGCACAATGTCCAATGGTCTGAAGCGTCAGAAACGAAAAAGGCTTTGAAATTGGAAATTTTAGGCAAACATTTCGCACCAAGACCTTGATATGTATGTATAAAATCGACTTTTTTCTTTTGTGGTTGAGTTATTGGGGAAATCGTCGAGCGAACATCTGCGAAAAACGTTCTTCGAGCGACGAAGAATGTTTTTTTCAATATGTTTGCTTGCAGTGTGTCGTAACGACATGTCTCTCTGAACGAAAGATTCGATCAAATATATTATAATATTTAGCCATAATAAAAAAGTATACATTTGGAATTTAGGTCTTGATTATCTAAGAATCAAAAAAATTGAAGGTCCTGGTCCTGAATGTTCGATTGAAAAAAANAAAAAAAGGCTACCTTTTCCGATTTTCCCTGTTTCAATCATGCACCTTAAATGCCGCCGTGGCAGTCTCTTTGATTTGTCAAACGGCATCTGCCCATGTAACGATGGTTAAGCGGGGACACAATTGGTGGAACTCCTTCAGGTTAGCATGGTCATGTGTACAAGCATTATTTGTGAGTGTTTACTCAATGATTAGCTGTTTACATCCAGCATTTTTCCCATCCTAGGGATGGTATAGTGGCAAGTGGCGCACTATAACATACACGTGGTCGCTGGTTCGATTCCCGGATCGATATCCGCCTAAGCCAATTAAGTCTCCCATCGCTCCTAGGTTGGTTAATTGGTACCAGATTCGTCTGGGAGGATAAAAGTGCTGACTTAACATCGGCCGGGCAGCGCAAAACATTGTATAGGCCGCATACGCAACCAATACGTCACCGCGATCTTGAATGGAGGTCGAATGCGGAACGCATACCTCAGACGGGATTGAACAACGTCCGAAGATTTCATCTTTTATCTTTATCCTTTTATTTTCTTCATACGCTTTTGATTCCTTCTCATAACGCTTCCATAATATACCCTTTTACATAATTTTGCTTTTCTG